GTGAGATGGCAAAGCCAGAGGCTTCTTGACAGGTCACAGGCCAGTGATGCCCAGGCCTGCGCGGGTGCAGCGGAGGGGGTCCCTGAACTCACAGTCTGGCCGGAAGGTGCCCTGACTTCTTCGTGTATCTTCTGTTTTGGGTAGAGGGACTGGTCTGGATTTGGGGTTTGGTTTTCCTCATTCACAGGCTGGGGCAGCTCTGGCCATGCCTAGAAGTTGACTCTGGAAGGCTTTGCCCTACCCCAGGCTGTGCATCGCTGTGCAGCATGTGGAACCCTTGGCAGCTGGAGCCTTTGTTCCTTCTTCCTCGTTGAGCCTTGTGAATCCCAAGGACTAATAGGGCGCAGGAAATGCTTTGGGATTTGGCAAGGAAATGGAGGCACCTGATAAGAGCCACTGCACCCCTCCCTACCATGCCCCTCCTGCTGTGTATTCTCATGTCCTCCACCACCCTTGCCACAGCCACAGCAGTCTTCCTGACAGCTGGAGCAACAGGGCATTTCCTGGCATTGGGAGCTGGCATGTGCCTATTCCCCAATGCCTGGAAAGCTTGTCCCAGTCCTGTGTAGGTCAACCCTCATCCTGTCTGTTCCCTAATGTCACATCCATCTTCCAGAAGTTTGTCTGACTCTTCAGTGTACTCAGCGCTGAGAGCAGCAGGCCCAGTGTGGGAACAGAGCCAGGGTCTTAAGGAGCTAGGCTGCTCTTAAATTAATTAATTTTAATTAATTAATTTTTTTGGAAATAAGGTCTCACTATGTAGCTCTGGCTGGCCTGGAACTCGTTTGAACTCAGAGATCTGCCTGCCTCTGCCTCCCCAGAGCTGAGATTAAAGGTTTACACTACCACACCCAGTCCTGACCTCAAACTCTTAAAAAAAACAGGATCTTGAACTCCTGATTTTCCTTGCCTTTACCTTCCCAGTGCTGGGATTACAGGCACATACTGCCACATCTGGTTTTCTGTGGTGCTGGGCTGGGGCGGGGGTGGGGTGGGGTGGGAGTGTTACAGGGCTTTCTGCAGGCTAGGTAAGCACTCTACCAGCTGAGCCACAGTCTCAGCCCAATCCATTTGTTGGGAGGGGGGAGCTTGCACACGCCAAACACACGGTCTGCCATAGAGCTACATCCCAGCAAACTCCTTAATTTTTGAAGAAAAGGAAAGGGACTTGAGAGCTCATGCTGTGAGCCCCACCTCTCTCTGATCAGAGTGCTTGATTCCAGGCACCCTCCTCTTGACTGTGTGCTCATCAGTCCTTCCAGAAAATAGAGGCAGGTCGGGATCTGCTGAGGGCTCCACTGGGGCTCTAGTGCTTGATATTCCTGAAAACAATGAGTCCCCAGGCAGCCTCTGGGCTGGGGAGGGGTGGAGCTGAGCCTCCTTCTGCAGGTGCCAGCCCCCAGAGGGCACTTGGGCACACACCTGGGCACAGCTTCTGCTCACCTGGTTCTTTCAGAAGCAAAATGTGTCGTCGTGCGCCCCCCACCCCCGCCCCGTTGTGTGGAGGTCTCCTGTGAAGTCTCCGGGCAAATGTAGGCTTTCTCCTTGACTGGACCCTGAAGATGGGGTACCTAGCCAACAGTGGCTACCACTTAGTCCTCATTCAGAACCTGATGGCAGCAGATGGCAGGCGGCACTCCTACTCCAGAAGTCCCTTTGTTCTGCCCACCTGCCCCAACCAGCCCCCTGCCTGTGGAAAGGTCTTCTGAGGAAGTCTGCTACCCATCTCCTAGCAACACTCTTGTCCCTGGCCTGGCCTCTCCCAGGGAGTTTACAAACAACACACAGCTGCCTGAAGCTGAGGTTGCCTGAGGTTGAGGCTTTCAGTGTCTGAGTCAGCAGGCCTGGCCCTCACCCTCACCTGCCTGCTCTGTACCTCCACTCTGGCCTCTACCACCGGCCTGCCCCTTAAAACTAAAAAAGCACACCCACAGTTCCCCTTTTGTACCTGTTGGGGAAGGAGCCAAAATAGCTTGGGCCTGGTGACCCTATTTCAGATCCAGCCCGTGTGAGGGCCTCTCAGAGAAGAGCATTGCACAGACAATGCCCGGGTTTTGTCTATTTAAAACAAAATTCTGTTTTTGAAAAAAGCACTAGGGGGCTGGCAAGATGGCTTAGGATGTACACACACACACACACACACACACACACACACACAGAAAATTTTAAAACACTAAAATTTTATTTAAAGTAATAATATACTCTAGATGAAACACAAGACTGCCTCTCTCATTCCTTACTCCCAAGTTCACAGCCCTTTCCAACTCTTATTCTAGAATAATCTAAAAAAATTGTATTGTTGTTTGCTATTTATTTTTCAGTTTTATGTGGTGTTACATTGGGACTTTCTATCATAGGAGTTTTTTGTTTTGTTTTTTGTTATTTTGTGACAGGGTCTTCCTGTAGCTCCAGCTGGCCTGGAACTCACTATGTAGAACAGGCTGGCCTTGATCTCACAGAGATCTGCCTGCCTATGCCTCTGCCTCTTGAACACTGGGTTTAAAGGCAGGTGCCACCATGCCCAGCCCCATAGGAGGTTTTGATTTCAATTTTAGTTGCGGCCACACACCAGTACACACGCACCAGCACAAACCCTTTTCTTTCCTTCAACTTCCCAGAGAATCTGGGCCTTAAGTTTAGCATTTGGATTTTTATATGTTCAAATATTTTTCAAAGCTGAGCCTTGTATTTCCCAGATTCCCGTTTCATTTTGTTTTGTTTTGTTTCTTTTGGTGACATTCTCCTCGTGTAGTCCAGGGTCC